TCTTATAGAAATACTTCCTTTCATTGTCCTTTACATCCCTAAGCGGTTTACGGAATCAGAATATTGCCCTCAAACAATCTGGGTCCTCATTTTACCGACCTTGGAAGGCTGAGTCAACCTATCTGGACACTTCTGAAACACTACTTGTTTTGCTGCATGCCTTTTAAAAGGAAGTATTTCTATAAGAATACAATTTAAACCAGGGGTGTCCAAACTTGGGAACTTTTAAGACTTGTGGACTTCAACTCCCAGAATTCCCCAGCCAGCCATGCTGGCTGGGGAATTCTGGGAGTTGAAGTCCACAAGTCTTAAAGTTCCCAAGTTTGGACACTCCTTAAACAGTGACAACTGTATATCATCATTATCTTTCCCTCTAAGAAAATAAAAACAAAACTTGTATCCTCTTAGTTTTCCTGACATCCGGGACAGTTTTTCTCCCTCAATCCCCAAATTTCTTACGAGGAAAGCCCATGTCCCAAGTCTCGTGCCTTGTGTCAAACCCTTGGTTCCCAGGGTCCCTCCCCAGTCGCTCTCTTTTCCCTTACTCGGTCCGGGCGGCTCGAGATCCACCACTTCCACGAGCTCCTCTGCATCCCCTTCCCCATCGCCGCCGGCCATGAGCAACAGCGCTTCGGGCGCCGGCTCTACCTCTTCCTTTTCTCCGGGATCCGCCATGCTGACTCCCGCCGTCAGAGGACACGCGTCTCCTGCTGGGGACTCTCTTCCTTGCTCCCCGCCCACTGTGGCGGGGGTGGAGCCAGAGCCCCGGGTGCCAATCTCACGAAGGAACGGAAACAAATAAAACAACCCACTAGCCAATCGGAGCGGCCAACACGCTCTCCCTCATTGGCTACTTTCAGATTCTGAAAAACGAAGCTTCGGTGTATTTCTCACCTGACGTGCCTGGGAAGACCCCCCCCCCCGGCCTTTCACCGGCCTTCGTTTACCAAGGAGGCGAAGGGCGTCATGGGAGTTGTAGTTTCAGGTTCCTCCTCCCCGTTAGTTTGCTACCCAGCAGGCAGTAGGGGAGAGAGGTGCCCGTCAAGATGGCATCGTTTTGCTTTCGGAAGCTCGGTAGGAAAGGCGCGACCTTTGGGCGTCCCTATAGCGGAAAGAAGGGAGGTTGGCTTAGGCGAGTTAAGGGAAAGGTTTCATTGTTTCTTGAGAGGGGAGTGTGATCTGGAACAGACTCTGCAAATTTGACCCGAACTGCATTTATTAATATATAGGCTATAGAGGAACTGATAGATTCCTGAGAAGCCTGGCTGTTATTTTTCCGTCCTTTCCTCCCTCTTTATTTCTCAGGGAGAATCAGGGCAGAATCAATCGACGGCTCTTCCTCTTAATTTTTCCTGTTTCTCAGGCTCAAAGCATCTTTTTGCACGTGTTGTAAAATCTCCCAAAATCTCCGGGGGTATCTGCTGGTGAAAGAGAGACCTTTCCCCCTTGCTTGCTAATTTTTATTGCTTTTCAGGAGGACGGTCGTAGGCTTTGCTCATGTTTTCTACCCTGGAGGTAGAGAGACTTATTTGTTCAAATAAAGCGGCAGCTTTGGCTTTCTATATTTTATGTGTGTGAAGGAGAGCCAGAGGTTTGGGAAACGGGATTGGGAAACAGGGGATTATGGCTTAGCCTTAGGTTGTCATGTGCATCCAGCCATTTGAGTTAATAGCAATAGCATTTATATATATGCAAGCCATGACTTAAGAGAATGGGACACCAATCTTTTGCATGGTCTGTGAAAAGGAAATGTCTTGGGCTGCATATAAAATACATAATCAAGTTGATGTAATAAATAACGAACTTTTAAAATATATTTACTACCTTGTGGGACCACATTACTAGCCATCTACATTACTAGCTATCCAGGCCACAAGTTGCACATGGCTGACTTAGAGAGTGGCATGATGGATATTCTGCAACCATTGTTTAATGCTTTGTAATGTGCCACTACAGTGTTCCAATTATGACCACATGCTATAATTACCGGTATGAAATTCTTGGTGTTCTAAGTTTGGTTTACTTATAGAAACCACATTTATACACCATTCAAAACAGCAATGAAAAGCCGAGGAAGGATAAACAGAAAGACTAGAACACATCTCCTTCAGCAGCCCACATTCAGATAAGCAGCAGATAAGCAGCAGGAATCAGCACCAGACAATCAGGAGAAGGCAATACACCAATCAAGAACCCAACTAGGAGGGAAGTACATCTTATGAAAACTGGCAGGGCACACACACACCCCCCCATTTGCACTGATATTACCTAGTTGATTTATGAAATGTCTTCCAAGCTCAACCAATCTCAGAGCATAGCAAGAATTCCACAGTTCAACCCTGAGCTAAAAACATACGTTTCTATTAGAACATCCTATAATTGTTCCATATGTAAAAACTGAGGCTTGTTTTTCAAAATCTGGAAATAATTATGATGAGACATTTTTCTTTGTGGAGTGTCAGGCAAAATAAATAGGTGAGTAAAACAAGGCTTTTGAGCTACCAATCATTGTAAGAAAAGAATAGTGATAGTATTTAGGCTTATATACTGCCCCCATAGCACTTTGCAGCACTGCAGCACAATGTAGAAGCATTATTTGCCTATTGCCCCCAACAATCTGGGTCCTCATTTTACCAATCTTAGAAGGATGGAAGGCTGAGTCAACGTTGAGCCCAGTCAGTATTGGCTGGGGGCACAGTTTGCCCAGATTACTGCATTTTAACTACTGTGCATGCCAAGTTTAATGTGGTTTTTCACATCTTGGCATTTTTATTTTTATTTTTTTATTTCCTTTACAGACTTCCTTCCTGCCACATTGAAACAGTCATCATGCATAATGGTGCCTTTTCGAATGGACAATCAATCTTTTCACAGTAGCCGAAGATGCTTGGAAGAAATGCAGAAGAAAGCACAGACTGGTGAACAAACATACAGACATGTAGAATATAATGCCCCAAGAAGGTTCAAGATCGGTCCTAACCCCGTTGCTATTGCTTGGTGAGCATTGCTTTTATCATTCTGTGATCCAAAGCAAGGTAGGCATCCCATGATTTCCCTCTGAGGTTGTGTTGGCAGAATTCAATGACAAAACGACTGATTTGTAATGGCTCACTTTTAGCATTTTTTAAAAATGGGGTAAGGAAGCAAATCCCTATAATTCTCACCCTTTAAATCTCTTGCAGTGGCCCAACTTTGATGAACTTTTGTTCATCAACATTTGGCCATTTTGACACTGAAGAAACTATAAAAAACTTGGAGAATTTTAACAGTGGAAATTTGTCCTTTGGGAGCTTCCTAGAGTAGGAATGGAAACAGCTTTCTTTTCCCATTCTACTCTAAAATCTTTTCATTTTAAAAACAAGATGATAAAATTTGATTTAATCCTAGTGCTTAGCAAAAAGAATGATCTTTGTCTTTTTTCCTTTTGGAAACCAAGGATGGTAGGTATGTTTATCTTCAGGATCAATTCTGTGAGATAGCGACTGTCCAAAAATCACCCTGTTGAAGACCATAGTGACCTAAAACCTACATCTTCCCACTCTAAAATTGTACTTCTTATATTTCCCACAAATTCCTTAACTTATATTGAATAAATAGAAAACTAAATACAATTCCAACTTTTTTCTTAGTGCAAGGGGAGGAAATCATTGTCTCTTTTGAGCCACATGTCTTTTGCAACCTACATCCCAGGTGATTTTAGCTCATTTTCATCTCCTTAGGGTCATTGGTTTGCCCTCTGCATTTGCCCTTTTCTTCCTTGCTAAGAGACAAGTGGAAAACAAACGTGTGAAACAGATGAAAGCTCGCCGACAGATGATGGCAGCCAGTAAAGAAGATAGTTTGACACAAAGAACAGGAAAGCATTTAGACACGAAGACCAGTTGAACTGTATACTTCAATCATTAAGTTACTATCTTCAGATTCTCAAATTCTAATACTTAATTGGAGCATAGTGCTGTGCTGCAGAGCGTTTCTGATTTCTCAGTCTGCATTTCTATGTATCAAAGTTAACAATAAATTATCATCAAGATTACCACAATAATCCTCAACATTAGAGGTATCTCAAGCAAGAAGCAGTGGCCTGCTTTAAGTGTATTATGGTTTTCTTGCATCCAAAGCATTTTATGCTAAATCTGGATAACTGAAGATGAAATCGCAGGAGTTGTGATAATGTGGGTCATGAGAACTCAACAAAGCAGTTTGTACTTTATTTTTTCCTACTTTGTGAGCAATGTTCCCTGAATAATTGTGTGTTCTTTCAGTTATACCACTTCATATTGGGGCTAGCAAATGAAACCAGATCACACCATTCTACTTTACCAAAATGTATGTGAAACATTGAACTTATTAAAATATTTGAAAAATTTTAAAGTGCAGTTTAGTTTATTATAGATACTTGAGAAGAATCCAAGCAAATTTGTAATTTTGAATGATTGGCAAGCTAATTGATTCCATTCCAACAGTTAGGCAAGCTAAACACCCAGATTTTACCTGCAGGTTTTAGCCTAGTCTTAGGATCCTAAAAATAGTGATAAAATTATAGGGTCCTTTTTAATGTATCAAACTGAACAGTACATTGTTAGGAATAAAATTCTGTTTGCAGTAATTGCTGTTAAATTGTTACTACTGTTTTTCAATCTCATTAAACTTTCTGCTTTCTACAGAAGTTTTATGTTCATTTATTTCATGAAAATGCAACATTGGCCCAGCTAAACTCACAGCTTCCAATTCGTAGTATCATGGTAACACGGTCCTATGACACAAGACAAAAGGAACAGATGTCACTTTAGTCAGTTCCATAAACCATTCATTGCTTAGATACTGCACAAGAAAAAAGTTGACTGCAAATGAGACCACTAAGGCTTTTTCAAAACTTCGAAGGATTTATTCCCCACTGATTTGTTCTTCCTGTTGCAAATTTTCTTTGCCTACTTTCTCCCAAATGGTTATAATGGGAAAGAATTTATATGACACAGACCAGTGTTCATGGGTGAATTTTAATTAGTCTGGGAACTGATGTTTGCCCTGTTTTGTCTTTACCACTGTTCCGAACATTATGGCCCAGATCTTACTTTCTCTGGACCTGCAGGAGTATAGGAAATAAATAACATAGTTTAATGCAAATATTCTTCTCATTATTTGAACATGGATTTTATTCTCATTAGTAGGACATCTCTCCCCCCACCCCAAACCATCAATACTCTTAAATTTCATTTAAAATGTATTATTCTTAGTTGGATACTTGAATATAAAAGCAATCAGCACCTCCTACTTCACAACTAATATGTAACTTCTCAGACCAATACATGTTAAAAAAACAAACAACTGAATTGCACTTTCAGAAATAAATCTAAGGTGGTTTGCATCTTAATGGTTTCTTGTAAAATTAGTTGGGCAGGGGAAGGGGAAGAAAGCGCAATGATAGAAGAATACCAACCATATAGTTATTTATCCATTGTAATCCCTTCCTTATCCTGAATTACCGTAGCTAGCCTGCTTTTTTTTTACCAATAAAGGAATTGCAAATAAAAATGCCAGCATTATATATGAAAAAACATACAATTTATTTGTAACACTAATATAACAAATGTCAGCTTGCAAGCTGGAAGACTGGAGATCTCAACGCAGAACCCTCTGGATCTTCACATTGTCTGTCTTGGAGGTTACTCCTACCATCTTTTTCATTGTGGCAATCATTAATAAAGGAATTACAAATAAAAATGCCAGCATTATATATATAAGAACATACAATTTATTTATACTAATATAACAAATGACAGCCTACAAGCTGGAAGACGAGGTTTCAACCCAGAACCTTCTGAATCTTCAACACTGTCTCTCTCAGATGTTTCTATAGTGTACAGTACAGGGGTGGATTCTGGCTACCGCTACTGCCAGTTTGCTCAAGAACGCAACACGCATGCGCGCTTGATGCATGTGCTTGTGCAATGCAACGAAAAATGCTCTGCGCATATGCAAAAGCAAAAAACAAGATAGTGGTACCTATAGTGCTCCCAACAGAACCAGTTCAGGGGTGTAGCAGGCCTGGGCCGCTGCCGGTTCCAGTGACACAGGCTGCCAAGTTACTACCAGTTCAGCCGAACCAGTCCAAACTGGTAGGAACCCACCCTTGGTACAGTAACTTCCGGGAAGTGCAGGGTAGAATTATGTTATTAGAGGATTCGTCCCTTCCTTATTGGGAGTCATACCACTGAAAAACAGCAGCAGCTCTGTCTCTGTGAGATTCTTACAACTTTCAACTTTAATAAGATTTGTATGCCGCCCACTCCCATTGGGACTCTGGGCGGCTCACAGCAAAAGTAAAACAGGTAACAGCATCCAAGAATCCTCTATGTAAAACAGAATCTTGGTCTAGAGCAGGGGTTTCCAAACTTGGAAACTTAAAGACTTGTGGACCTCAAGTCCCAGAATTCCATAGCCATCATGGCTGGCTGAGGAATTCTGGGAGTTGGAGTACACAAGTCATAAGAGTTACCAAGTTTGGCAGTCCCTACAGGAACCTCTGGTCTAATTTAAGAATTCTAATAAAGATAACAGCTAGACAAAGCCTCCTATGAACATAATACATGGAGGTTTAGATGTACAATGTAATGTACTATGAAAGAAAAAGAAAAATGGCTATATGCTGTATGCTATATTAATGTACTACTTGTATTCTTTTATGTTAACTGAAGAATTAATTTTAATAGATAAGAGCTTTGGCATGGATGTTGATGCAGGAAAACTTATTAAATCCAAATGAATCTCATAGGACAGTGATGGCAAATCTATGGCACGCGTGCCACAGGTGGCATGCGGAGCAATTTGTCAGGGCATGCAAGGCGCTGCCCTGTCAGCTGACTGCACTGGCCAGCTGAGTTCACCCTTTTTTAAAGCCATTTTTCGCCCTCCCCAGAGGTTTTATAGGAGCCTAGGGAGGGTGAAAAGAGCCTCCCCCGCCCCCCTGGAGGCCCTCTGGAGGCTTCATGAGCTTCCCTGAAGCCTCCGGAGTGCAAAAAACCACCCCTACGGGCAAACCGGAAGTTTGAAAACGGACTTCTGGTTTGCTCGGAGGGTCATTTTGACTGCTCCAAAGGCTTCAGGGACCTTCAGGAGGCTTCCCTGAAGCCTTTGGAGTGCTCAAAACGACCCTCTGAGCAAACCGGAAGTCACTTCCGATTTGCTCAGAGGGTCGTTTTGACTGCTCCGGAGGCTTCAGGGAAGCCTCCTGAAGGTCCCCAAAGCCTCCGGAGGGCTTCTGGGGGGTGGGGGAGGCTGTTTACACCCTCCCCAGGATCCTATAAAGCCTCTGGAGCCTGGGGAGGGTGAAAAAAGCATGCAAAAGTGGGGGGGTCGCACCTGTAGTGCGGGCATGCGCACTGGGGAGTCGCGCATTGCATTATGGGTATGGCAAGCCTGCACACAACCCCCCCTGCACTTCCCCCACTTATGGCACACGAGCAAAAAAAGATTTCGCCATCCCTGTCATAGGACATACGTTCACTTTGACAGTGTACTAATTATGTCACGAGACTTAAGTTTATTGAATTTTGGGTTGAATAAACTTAATATTTAATATATTTCCATACAATATACAAAGCTTTCACACAGCATAGTAAAATAAGAGCAATATGGAAATGTATAAGTATGTGTATATGATAATATTATTCAAAAAAGATTCATATGGGGGAAGGCAAAGATACTAATATTCTGAAAACATGTCCCTTAAGTTGCCATTTAAAAAAATCCCTAACGTCTGCTCCCAAGTCTTAAAATAGAAAGGAATATGTAGATGACATCTACGTAGATTTGAATTGCTCCATAAATGTAATCTTCAGGACTGAGGGAAAACCTCTTATTCCCCAAGAGCAACTGGGTATCATATGCAAGGAACTGTAGGAAATCAAATAGAAACAATTAGTCTCATAGTTCAAAAAAAACCCTAACCTCTAAAGATGCAAGTGTCCAGCCAATCATTTCTTGTCATGCATCCTTCATCAGTTCCTTAATTTTCATTTTAAATGTGTAGATCAATATGTTTTTTGTAATCCTATCCACACACTCTTTGTCTGTTGAATTCCTTAGCTTCATTTCAAAATTCCAGATCATTGTTTTATTTAATGCAGTCAATTTTTAATGTACCAAAGTGGTACACTCACAGAAAACATACATACAATTTAGAAGTGTCTAACAATCCTATAATCCATGTCAAGGATGGAGATGCTTCTTAATGATCCACTTTTTAATCACTCTCCATATTTTAATTGGAAGTGCTCAAAGAAGTGATTCCATCACATCAAATAATTTACAATTTTAGCAAGTTCCCCACTTGTGTGTATACATACATACATACATACATACATACATACATACATACATACATACATACATACATACATATATATGTAATTTGGGGTTAATGAACAAATCTTGATATTTTGAAAGGCTAAAGTCATAAACTTCATCTGTCTTTTAGGAATTGCATATTATCATTTACGACAGGTCAGTGAAAGGCTGGTTCTGATGAATCAGTGGCAGTCAGGAAATGAGCTGCTGAGTTGTTTTACTGAGAAATAGGAAGTCCTGTTGACTTAGAACAGTTTGCCTAGTGATCGTTCAAAGTTACAATGGCACTGGAAAAAGTGACTTATGAAAGTTTTTCACACGTATAACTTTTGCAGTATCCCCATGATCATGCGATTTGGACGCTTGGCAACTAACTCATATTTGTGATGGGTTGCCATGTCCTGGGGGAGGGGGGTGTCATGTGATCACTTTTTCTTCGGACAAGCAAAATCAATGGAGAAGCCAGTTTCACTTAACAACAGGGTTACTAACTTAACAACTGAACTGATTCATTTAACAATTGTGGCAAGGAAGGTCCTAAAATGGGGCAAAACTCATTTAACAAATATCTCACTTAGCAATATAAATTTTGGACTCAATTGTGGTCATAAATTGATGACTATCTATATAATCTTATTTTGCATAGCACATGAGCATACAAAGTGCTGCAAACTTATTATTTTCATAAAAAGCATCTCGGGGCATAGAAAGTAATTCTTTACTAACCAGGGTAAAGATGATGGCACAAATGGCTGAATAAAGCATATCGACCCAATAGATCTGCAGAAGATAAGTAAGATCCAGTTAATTACAGGGCTGTGCAAGAGGAAGTTTAAGCAGTCTGTGAGAATCCCCATTGAAATTATTAAGGGACAACAACTTATGAATAGAAGGGATCTGTTAAGGCCAAAGCTCAATTTCAAAATGCCTCAATCAAGGGGAAACAATTATTTAGGGGAAAAAATGGAGGCATTATCTGTCATAGCTTCCCAATTAAATAGCAGTAGCACTTAAACTTATATACCGCTTCACAGGGCTTTACAGCCCTCCCTAAGCGATTTACAGAGTTATCCTATTCCCCCAACAATCTGGGTTCTCATTTTACCGACCTCAGAAGGATGGAAGGCTGAGTCAACCTTGCGCCTGGTGAGATTCAAACTGCCAGATTGCAGGCAGCTGGCAGTCAGCAGAAGTAGCCTGCAGTTCTGCACTCTAACCATCGCGCCACAGCGGCTACTAAAGCAGATATGTTCCAAATATAAACACATGTAAATATTAATTAATGCACACACTTATGAAAGCCAGTCATCCATTCCAGCCACTTACATATTTGTATGTCAGGACAATAATAGCGGTGATAGAAGTCACAAAGAGGACAATTGACAGTATACAGAAAAAACCAGTCCAGGTTGTGAGATCCACCTGTCAATGAGAATGATACATTATAGCATAAGTGACACCATTTTAATGCCCTACACACATTGATACATGTATACATACATACAGTAGCCAATATATGCAAAATGAGTAAGAAATGAGACACAGAATTTAAAGTCATGTCATGAGAAAAGAAAAAAAAACAAATGTAAGTTGATCTAGCTTGTACTAACACCATGCACTATTTTTCACATTTTTCATCCTTGAAAACCATCCTTGCTTCCATCATGTTCATATGCTGCTTCACACACTTTCTTGTTCCTTAAACTTCTTGCCTCTCTTTCAGGATCTCTTCAACACCATCCAATCGCGACCTCTTTGGTTTTCCTCTTCCTCTTTCTTTCTTCATATGCTTATTTTGTAATTTGATCTTCATTAGTTCTTGTGACATAATTAAATATTCTCGAAGTACTTCTTTCATACTAGCTGCTCACTTTTGTACAGTATCCGGCAGCCAATTCATTCTTGATTAACCTTCTTGTTTTACTCATTCTTGACTATCCTATTTGCTCTTTTACACTATATTAAAATGACAAAGACAACTCACCTTTGTTTGGAAAGAGAAAGCAGTGACAGTGATTGTTATAACCGTAGTGATGATCATGGCAAGGATTACAGCTTTGGTGTCATGCATGCTGCAAAATAAGAATGTTAAAAAAATGCTTTAAGGATATTATTAATCAGATTTGACCGGAAGTTCTTCAGCTGGACAGACGAGGGAAGTGTGAGCTCTGAAGAGCCTCACATGAACTCTGTCTGACAAACCAATGCTGAGATCCTTTTGGATCAGAACCTCC